AATATTCGTAATACACATTTCCATTGAATCCAACTGTTATCTCTTATAAATGACTCTCTGAAAATTCAATTTAGGTAACGATGATAGAAGTGTCATTTAAAATCGACGAGCATAAATATTCTTTCATAACAACTATATTATTAAAATTTTCAATTTCTATTTCAATATTTCAATTTTTGATTATTAAAAATTTTAATATTTTATATTATATTATAAAAATTTCAGTACAGAAGAAATTTATTCAATGTCCTTTGTAGTAGATATTAAAAAAACAAAAATTTATTTTATATTTTCAATTTATTTTTACGTTAAATTATACCTCCCATAAATTTATTAACAAAAATTCAAACATTTCAATATAAGAAATTTCAACAAATATTTTCAGTAGTAAATGTTACAATAAATAAAAATTTACATATATTCTCAATTTATTTTTATGTTAAATTATTTTTCTTTCTCGAAATCATTTTATAAAATAATTTTTATTAAAATCATTATTTATGGAATAATCAAATTTTATAGAATAATTTGTTGTTAATAATTTCATATATTCTTTTTATTTGATACCATAGTTTTGTTAAAGTATTCATATTTATGTGATAATTTATTTTCTGTGATCAACTTCTATGTTTTTTCACATTAATTGCTAAAATAATTGATCGATAAAATATTTAAAAAATCGTTTACAAATATAAATTTCACGTATGCTCGTTTCAAAAACGAAAAAATAATGTAATAATTATATTTAATAAGTGAATAAAGCGATAATTAAATTTATTCAAATCTAATAAAATAATTTTCCATGGATAAATCAATTTTTATGATTTTGAATTCACAGTTAATATTTTGATATGTTATTATGCTGCTTAAATCTTAAAAAAACAATTTTAATTAACGTCTCTTTATCTATCTATGAATATTTAATGCGATATTTTTACTTGTCAAATTACGTGTCGAGATTATTTCTTGAGAATATGCACGACATTGAATTAAAATTATAAGGATGGATGGACATTATTATAATATTTATATAAATAAATACAACAACTATTTAATTGCTCTGCAATATATTAAAATATTTTTTAAAAATATAAAATTTATTTCTTTACACAAGTTTATGATATAATATTTCATAAATTTAATTGAACATTAGACAAATTTCTTTCTAACAAAATATATTTTTACATAAATTATAATTATATAATATCCCTAATAAATTATTACTCCATATATTTATTAACTATACTTTTACTTAATTATCAAATTATTTTCCATTTTATTTTCTGTTTTGCCATTTTGTAGATCTTTATCGATCTTTAAATATCAAATAGATCTGCCGTTTTTATTTTATAATTTAAGCAGAGGTATATGTTTAAACGATAAGTTTAATATATTTTCTAATCCTAATGAGCGTTTCAAACCTCCAATCAAACCAAATATCCCTTTGACATTTTTCAATTCATTGCCGCTCAAATCAAATTCGTCTCCATTTTTCGCGTTCAAAATTGTTTGAATATTGATTCCTCCTTTTAATAATTCAATAGCTTTTGAAACAGAACTTGTAAGAAATTTCAAGTCTAAATTTCTTTCGTCGTAATCATCAGAATCCAAGAGATTAAAATTTATATCCTTCTTTTTTATCTCACTGATTAAAGAAATTAACGATTCAATTTGATCTTTATTCAAAAGACCTAGAAGACCTTTTTCTGATTTTAAACTATTTAAGAGTCCACTTAAACCACCAAATAAGCCACCAATTTTATCTTTATTTAAATCTTTTTTCCAATCTAAACCAATTGGATTTTTTTTCCAATCTAATTCTTTATTCCGTTTTATGTTTTTATCATTTTCCTCATTCTTTTGTGATTCACAAGTTTCAAGTATGCTTTTTGAGATGTTATTCAAATCTACAAGTACCTTAGCATTCTTCTCTAAATCTATAGCACCATGATCAGTTTTTCCTTCCTTTATTAATTTTAAAAGTTCAACAACGCTCGTATTAAGTTCTTCCAAAGAACGAACGTCTTCGCTACCTTTCTCGAATTTCCAAGTATCAAACTTTTTGCCCTCCTTTAGCGATTTAAGAGCAATATTTAACTTGTCCGTGACATCTTCTAAACCCAACAGACCTTTGCCACTTTTTTCTTCCAAAAGAGGACTGATATCTTTCTCTTCTTTAAGCCATGAAGAAAGTTTGGTAATCTTTTCCCTGACCACGACCAGATTCAGATTTTTGGATTTTTCTTCCTCTTTTAAGGCCTCTTCACGTTTTCCTAATCAATTAATTTATCGATTAAAAGATTTATTTTTATAATATGTTTCAAGTTTAAAATATCTTTTACCATTTGATTCTTACAATTAAAAATTTTTAAATTTTCAAATTTTTAAATTTTCAAAACTCTTTAAAATATATTTTTTGTTAAGAATTAAATTAAATATATTTTGTTAAGAATTAAAATTTTAAACATTGATATTTGGGATTTTTCGAACTCAAATTCATAATTAACCAATAAATAATAAAAATCTTTTTTGAATTACAACAAATTAAATTTTTATGCTTTTTTTCATATTTTTTACAAATTTTTGACTTAGATTTCGAGAATTTTAGATTATAAAAGTAATAAAAAGTTGTAAAAACTATAAAATTCTTTAAATTTCAAAAAAAAAAATCACTGTTTCGAGTATGTCGAGTTAAAATCCAAATTTAAATCTATATTTAATTTATGAAATATTTTTTAACTTATTCATAAGAATTCTATATTAAAAATATCTACAATATCCAAAAATATAAAAAGGTTAATTTATTATTTTTTAGATAAAATCTTCTATCTTATAGTTTGACAATACTAATATTTTATAATTTTCAGATTTAATTGGTTTGAGTCTTGAATCTCATGAATTACCTTCACGAATCTTCAAATGTTCATTTTTTGATTTTGAAGCACTTTCTTCTTTAATTTCTTTTAAACTCTTTGACTCGCTTTTCTCATAAGACGCTTTGTCCTTTAGTCCAGCGTCTTTTTTTAATTCTATATCTGTGTCTGCGCACACAATATGTACACAGATGAATATAGATAGCAATAAAAGTGTGTATTTCATGTTTCACGGTCTTCTTTTCAAACTGATGCAGTATGACAACGAATTCTTTGCTTTTATACTTGAATGAAAATTAAAAACCAACATCTGCAAGCATTTGTAATCTTTCTATATATTTTTATTTCTGTTTATTTTCTTTTTGTGATACGACATATGTCGATTTGATAAGATGGCAATAAGTACATATTAACATTTATCGCGAATAAGTAATTTATGTATTTTATTGAGAAGATGTGTTTGTACAACGTATTAAACTTTTGATCTGGCATATTTAAATTATATTTCTTTTCTTATTTCTTACAAATATTTTGGTAATTAACGCTCTTTATCTTTTTATAAAAAAATATTGTCGTGTATAATAAATGTTTGTTCTTTTAGAATTTGAAATTAATTTTGAAATATTGAAATTGAATTTTTTTTGTTATAATAAAATAAATGCTGTGTAAATGAATTGCACAAATTATACTGTTCCTTTGTTAATATATTAATTAGATTGCATTTTGAATTAATTTATTTTATTTTACTCTTAATTATTATTCGACTTATCGTTTCAATATTTTGATAAAAAAATATAGGAGTTTCATTTTATTTTAACGTTTCTTAGAGCAATATGATAATCAATAAAAGAATTGATAGATATAAAAATTATTTTTATATAAATTATTTGTATTCTGAAAAATTAATATCACTTATATAAATATTATTATTTATTTAGTATATTCAAATATTTGTTCTGATAAAATGTATTATATTAAAATCAATTTAATATTAATATTAATATAATATAATAAATGAAAAGTGATAAAGAAAGGATAATAATGAAAAATATTAAAATAGATAATTAATGTTTTTTTAAATTTAAATTCTTTAAATAATTATTATTTCTTTCTGTACAAAAATTACAAAAAATTTAGCACACAAATATATTTATGTATTTTTAATAATAAATTTTTTATCTTTTTTTTAGAATTATAAATTTATTACTCAAATTACAATATTACGTTAAATACTTATAATTAAGAAAAATTTATTTTAAATATTATTTGTATTATTGTATTATTCATTATCATTATAGACAAAGTTATCAATTTTTTATTAAAATTTTATTGCTCTATAAAAAATAAAATAACAAAAATTATCTTTCTTTAGTGTAATTAATATTTAAAAAATAGTATGAATATATATTTATAAAATATTAAGAAATAAATGAATTAAATTGAATAGTGATAATATTTCATAATTTTTAATTAAAAAAAAAATTAAAAATGATAGAAATTCAATTGAAAACATGCAATTCATAGGAGTTCTTTTAAATATAATAAAAATATTTAAAAAATAATTAAAATAATGAAAACAAATAAATTAATCGTGAAAAATAAGATTAATATAATACATGAACATATTTCTGAAAAGTAAAAAAATTCCAATATCCTTGGTTTCGTATTTATCTCTTGTTTTTCATTATTCTTCGATAAAATATTGATCAAAATTTAACAGATGCTATAATATGCTGGTGTATTTCACAATATATATTCAGTTGTTGGAAATAACCAAAATGTAATAACTGAAACAAGACACACATGTTTAAAAAAAATTTATTTCAATTTTCTATTACTATACTGTGTATTATTTTAATGAAATATTAATTTCAAATATTAATTTTCATTGAAATTATTTCTATAGACAAATTTTTAAAAAAATTCACTCAGAATGATCAACAACAAAAGAATATTCGATAATTATATTTTCTAATTATTTTTATATCATTTTTTATTAAAATTTTATTGTAAAAAATAAAATAACAAAAATTATCTTTCTTTAGTGTTTTAATTAATATTTAAAAAATAAAATTAATTCTCGTTAAAATTCTTTATCTTCTACACAGATAATATGAATATAAAATTTTAAGCTGTTGGCGTTTTATCATGTGAATTAAATGTAAGGGTTAATAAAGTACTATTTTCCTCTACAATAAAATACCCACATACAAGTTTCTACTAGTATTAAATGCATAAAGTTTAAATCGTTAAAATCATATATCCACTTTTTGCTTATATTTTCTATTGTTTATAAAGTATCTGATGTTGAAATTATTTTGAAAATACGATAATATTATTCAATAAATTCAATTTAATATTATATATATTATCATAATTATTTTATTACAATATCTCTGTGCAGAATAATTTTCAAAAAATCATAATTAGTTTTTTGAAAATTTCTAATAAATTTTATCTAATATTTTACAAGACATGTGTAAACTGAATAAAATAATAAAATTTATAATAAATAAAAAATATTTGCACTTTTATAACTTTTTTAAAGTATTTTATGAAACATAATTTTAAATATCTTACAATATTTGTTACATTCATAAGCCATTTATGTATATATTTCCAAAATTTCCCTTTTCATTTAAAATTGTTCTCTGAAATATCTAAAAAAAGATTTCTAATAGAATACGATAGAATAAAATTAGTATAAAAAAGTTATTTTTAATTAAAACATTATCTAATCACATTAATATTCAAAAATTCAAACAGTTTTGTAATTACAAACTAATTTCCGTTTTCCGGCACTCAATTATCAGGAATTAACTTTCAGCAGCAATTTATATCTACTATATTATCCCAAATATCAATTTTGTAATTGTTGTTGTTAAACTATTGGATAATTGATTGGATGATCTGTTCTATTTAGAAAACATTGTTATTTGAAAATGGATAAATTAAAGATAATTTATAATATTTTCATTGAAAAATAATAATAGAATATAAAATTAATATAATTACTTTTATCATTCTTTCACTGTATTATATTTTATCATTTATTAATTCTATTATTATATCTATTATATCTATTATATCTATTATATATTAACTGAATTATTACTATCATACGTAAAGTATTAAATATTTATATCATCCTTATAATATCTCTTAATATAATCTTAATATATTCATAATGCAAAAAATATACATAATTTCTTTTATCTTCTCCTATCTATAAATAAATAAATATTTAATAATTGTTAAAAAAGAATACATGTTAATGAACCTAAAAGCAATCCAGTGTTTATGGATATTAAAATAAATAATATTCAGAAACCATTCTAAATTTCTAATTAAAATAGCCGCAAGCAGCATTTAATTTTTCATGAAATTTATCTCTGATGTTATACAGCAGTAATAACATTTCAAGCTGTATAATCAACAAATTGAAACGACTGTCGGTTTAAAATGAAATTTCTAATCGAATTTATTAATGTACCCTTTTACATACATATATATATATACATATGTACAAACTTTACAATATTTTGACATTACTGTGTCTAATTTTACTGTGATTTACGTTTCTTCTGTTTTTGATAAATCTTACGTGTATTTTATCGAAAAAAAATTAGTTTAAAAGAAAGGAAACTGCTTCATCTTTCTATAACAATGGAGCTACTTTCCTAACGAAACTTATATATTCTTCTTTCATTTGCATTTATCTATATCTGGCATATTCTTTATTTGTTTTTGGAATATTTTTCTTCAAGAATGATTCAAAATCATTTTCCTTGTCATAATCTCTCTCAGAACTTTCACGTCTTTTCTTATCTTTAGTAAGAACAACATAGTAACAAGTTGTTTTTTCCGGCCGTTTGCCGACCCTTTTAAAATCCTCTTCTTCTTCATCTTCTGGCTTGCGTGGCTTCTCTTCTGGATATTCTAACGTCCAAGTCCTAGTACCACCCACATGGTAATTGGTTAAAGGTTCTGTTGGCCATTCTGGTCCAGGTGGTTGTCTGGTTTTTTCTTCTATAAAAAATTAAATAATTTTTTTTAATTTTAAAAAATTTTTTTTTAATCTAACTTTGTTTTGATATTTTTATTGATATAATTAATTTTTTGCATATCTAATATCTAATGATATTATCGTGATAATTAAACGAGAGTAGAATATGATCAAAAATTCTTCTTCTTAGATAAAAAATTAATCAATTTTTTAAAATAATTCTTAAAATTTATCTAAAATTTATCTATGTAATGATTGAAATGTAAATATATTAATGTAATTAATTCTATTATTAACATTATTAACATTAACAATATTATATATTATTGTAATTTTTATATTTCTAATATTTTAATAATAATATTTTAAAAATAAAAATTAAATACATTTAATATTCTACCTTCAGTTGTTTCTTCTTCTTCTTCATCTTCGTGAATTTTCTTGGGTTTTGGTTTTTCTTCCTCTGGTGTATATATCATTGGTGTTTCAATTACTTCTTCTTTTGGTGCCGTAGTTTCTTCTATTTCTTCATCCTCTTTATCCTCAGGTTCATAATCTTCTTTATATTCTTCTTCTTCTTCTTTTTCTTCTTCTTCTTCTTCCTCTTCTTTATATTCTTGTTCTTGTTCTTCTTCTTCTTTATATTCTTCTTCTCCTTCTTCTTCTTCTTTATATTCTTCTTCTCCTTCTTCTTCTTCTTCTTTATATTCATCATTTTCTTTGCTTTCATATTCATCATTACCTTGATTTTCCCATGGTTCTGTAACCTCTTCTTGCCTTAGATTTCTTTCAACTTGATTCTCATAATCATAAATTCTATTATTCCATTCATTTTGTTTCATTATTGTCTCATCATCATTTTCTACTTCTTCATCTTCAATAATTTGCAACATCGATCGAACTTTATACCTATTATTACCAATTTTCCAATTCATTTTTTCCGTAGATTTGATTCTCGATGTTTCAGTGATCGTTAAACTCTTTGTCGACTGAAAATTACAATTTTCATATTTACAAAATGGTTCGTCAATTAATAAATGACTTGTCGTCATTTTATAACCGGTAACATTATACAATTGATAATTAAGGCAAACAGCATTTTCTTCATTAATGTTTCGCTTAAATCGATTCCGCTCGATCGATTTTTTATTTTCATTCTTGTTCTCCTCGATCTCCGTCTGCGGTGTCACATAATCCGTTGTAAACGGACCTTCCATCCACTCATGCTCCTTAAGACGCAATGCAAAAAGTTTTGTTTTTTCTTCTTCGTCTTTAGTTGGTGTTTGGGTTGTCTTCATCTTATCGTCAGTAATTTTGTACAATGGATAATCTGAACAAACAGTTTTTTTCTCGTCTATATCTGGCTTAAATCTTTCGCGCTCCATCATTTCTTCACGATCAACTTCTTCGATTTCTGTCTGCGGTGTCATATAATTTGTTGTAAATGGACCTTCGGTCCATTCGTGCTCTTCAAGATGCAATACGACAATTTTTGTGTTTCCATCTTTCTTACTTCGAATGTATCGTATTCGTCTCGTCGTCATCTTATAACAATTGGTAAAATTGTATAGTTGATAATTGGGGCAAACAGCATTTTCAATGCCAATATTTCGCTTAATTCGATTCTGTTCGACCGATTCTTTATTTTCATTCTCGTATTCCTCAGTTTCCGTCTGCGGTGTCATATAATCCGTTACAAATGGGCCTTCTGTCCATTCGTGTTCTTCAAGATGCAATGTGGCAATTTTCGTTTTCCCCTCTTCTTCCTTACTTAAAATGTATGGTACGCAAACTCGTTCGGTCACCATGTCTTTACCAACAACTTTTGATCTTAAAACGGTTACACACTTCTTCGTTGTCACAAATCTTTTCGGCGTCAATCTTTCTACTGTTTCTTCAGTCATTGTTTCTTTGGTCACTGTTTCTTTCTCTATTTCTTTCTCTTCCTCGGTGATAGTAGTTCTTATAGTAATGTCTTTTATAGGTGTAATAGTTGGTTCTCGAATATCAATCGTTGTTCTTTCCGTAGGTGGAAGTGGCGAGAAAAGTGGCGTCGTACGCAAACAACAATCTCGTATTGTTTCTGTTGGTTCAGAAGTCTTAGGGGGCCATGATATTTCTTTTCCTTTCTTCAATGTTTCTTCCATTTCTCTCACTAATTTTTCAAAATCTTCCTGATCTTTCTTGAATCTCTTTTCTCTTTCCAGTAATCTCCTCTCTAGCTCCTTTATCCATTTTTCTCTCTCCCAAAACTCTATCTCTAACATTCTAAGTCTTTTCTCAAATGCATCGGTCGTCAAAAAGGGAGAAAGAGTAATCATTTTCATTTTGGGTCTCGTCGTATCAATATCTATCGCATGCTCACCGATAGTCGTTTGTGTTATTTCATGTAAAGCTTCTATTGCTTTAGTGGCAACATAAGCCTTCATCATTTTTTGTCTTTGTAATAGATCGCTTATTATTTTCGCTTTACGATTCTGCCATTCTTCTTCTTCTTTATCTAGTTCTATCTCTTTTCTTTCAATATCTTTCATCTTCTCATCCATTTCCTTCAGTTTTCTTTCCAATTGTTCCATCAATTCAAGATTGCGGGTATGCTTTTGACTGTCATCTGTGATGGGTGTAAATTCGACTACAGTTGGTACGGGAGTGATTTTGGGAATGATTTTCTCTGGAGTAATTATAGTCGAAGTAGTTAACGTTATAATCGGAGTAGTTAACGTTATAGTCGGAGTAGTTAACGTTATAGTCGGAGTAGTTAATGTTATAATCGGAGTAGTTAACGTTATAGTCGGAGTAGTTAACGTTATAGTCGGAGTAGTTAATGTTATATTCGGAGTAGTTAACGTTATAATTGGAGTAACTAACATTATAGTCGGAGTAGTTAACGTTATAATCGGAGTAGTTAATGTTATAGTCGGAGTAGTTAATGTTATAATCGGAGTTATAATTAAAGGAGTAATTATAATTGGTTTTGTGGTAGGTGGAGGTATAAAAGGAGTAAAAGTTATATCAGTAATATTATCTTCATATTCGAAGGGCAAAGATTCCGTAGTAAATTCCAAAGTAGGTGCTAAAGTATATGTAAATGTTGTAAATAATGGTGAAGTAGAAACTATTTCAGGAATCGGTATGAAAGGAGTAGTTATGTTAACATCTATTTTAGGTATTGTTACTTCTACTTTAATAACTTCTTTCGTAGTAGTCTCGATTGGTGGTGTCGGTGTCGTGATTATAGATTCAGTAGTTTCTATAGTAACAACAGGATATTTCGTTGTAATCTCTGTTGTTTCAGTTGTTACAATAGATGGAGTAGTTTCTATCGTAACAATTGGATATTTTGTTGTAGTCTCTGTTGTTTTTTCCACATATTCTTCCCAATCTGGACTGACTGTTTCTTCCTCTTCATATTCTTCATATTCTTCATATTCCGTTACTTCAGTTATTTCAGTTGTGGTTTCTGGAGTGACAGTTGTGGTAACTGTTTCGATTACAGGATAGGGAGTGGTAATTTCCCAAGGCATTATCGTTGATGTAGTAATTATAATAGGATATTCTACAGTAGTAACTATTAATTCAGTAGTGGTTTCTATGGTTTCAGTAGTAATGTATGGAGTTATGGTAGTCACATTTATAAGTTCTATGATAGGTGTGGTAATTTCTACTAAAACAGAAGAAGTTGTTTCAGTTGTTATGAGAACTGTTGGATATTCAATTGTAGTCTCTGGCGTTTCTGTAGGTGTTGGAGTTTCTATAGTTATATTCGTAACTTCAATAATATGTAATGTAGTTGTTTCAGTTGTCACAATAAATGGAGTAATTTCTATCGTAACAATTGGATACTTTGTTGTAGTCTTTATTGTTTCTGTCGTAATAAATGGAGTTTCTATAGTTATATTCGTAACTTCAATAATATGTAATGTAGTTTCTGTTGTTTCATTTATCACAATAAATGGAATAGTTTCTGTCGTAACAATTGGATATTTCGTTGTAGTCTCCGTTGTTTCTGTCGTAATAAATGGAGTTTCTGTGGTTATATTCGTAACTTCAATAACGTGGAATGTAGTTTCCGTTGTTTTAGTTGTTATAATTACAGATTCAGTGGTCTCTGTAGTTTCAGTAGTAATAGTTTCTGTCGTTTCAGTAGTTATATTTATAACTTCAATAATAGGTGTAGTAATTTCCATGATGACAGAAAAAGTTGTTTCGGTTGTCACAATAAATGGAGTAGTTTCTGTCGTAACAATTGGATACTTCGTTGTAGTCTCCGTTGTCTCTGTCGTGATAAATGGAGTTTTTATGGTTATATTTGTAACTTCAATAATATGGAATGTAGTTTCAGTAGTAATAGTTTCTGTCGTTTCAGCAGTTATATTTATGATTTCAATAATAGGTGTAGTAATTTCCATGATGACAGAAAAAGTTGTTTCGGTTGTCACAATAAATGGAGTAGTTTCTGTCGTAACAATTGGATACTTCGTTGTAGTCTCCGTTGTCTCTGTCGTGATAAATGGAGTTTCTATGGTTATATTTGTAACTTCAATAATATGGAATGTAGTTTCAGTAGTAATAGTTTCTGTCGTTTCAGCAGTTATATTTATAATTTCAATAATAGGTGTAGTAATTTCCATGATGACAGAAAAAGTTGTTTCAGTAATTTCTGTTGTTACAATTATAGACTCAGTAATGATCTCTATAGTAGTAATCAATGGCCATTCGGTAGTCACATTTATAACTTCAATAGGAGGAGTGGTAATTTCCATGATGACAAAAAAAGTTGTTTCGGTTGTCACAATAAATGGAGTTGTTGTAACAACTGGATACGTTGTAATCTCAATTATTTCTGTTGTGATAATTGGTGTTTCTATTGTTATATTCACGATTTCGATAATATGGAAAGTAGTTTCCGTTATTTCAGTTACGATAATTGGCATTGTTTCAGTTGTTACAATTGGAGAAATAATAAATGGTGTAGTTTCAATTGTAGTTCCTGTAGTAATAAAAGCTGTTTCCGTAGTAGTATTTATAATTTCTATTATTGGTGTAGTTATTAAAGTAGTCGTAATGGGAGTTATTTCAATTATTGCAGTTATTATAGGAGTTATAATTGTCGTGGTTTCTGTTGTTAAAGTAGTGATAAAAGGTGTTTCCGTCGTCGTGTTTATAATTTCTATTATTGGTGTAGTAATTGTAGGAATAGTAATAGGAATTGTTTCTGTCGTTTCCGTAGTTTCTGTTGTTACAGTTGTTACAGTGGTTATTGGAGTAGTAACAGTCGTGAAAATTGTAGTCTCAGTTATAGTTTCTGTTGTTATAGTAGTGATAAAAGGTGTTTCCGTCGTCGTGTTTATAATTTCTATTATTGGTGTAGTAATTGTAGGAGTAGTAGTAGGAATTGTTTCTGTCGTTTCCGTGGTTTCCGTCGTTTCCGTGGTTTCCGTCGTTTCCGTGGTTTCCGTCGTTTCCGTGGTTTCCGTCGTTTCCGTGGTTTCCGTCGTTTCCGTGGTTTCCGTCGTTTCCGTGGTTTCCGTCGTTTCCGTGGTTTCCGTCGTTTCCGTGGTTTCCGTCGTTTCCGTGGTTTCCGTCGTTTCCGTGGTTTCCGTCGTTTCCGTGGTTTCCGTCGTTTCCGTGGTTTCCGTCGTTTCCGTGGTTTCCGTCGTTTCCGTGGTTTCCGTCGTTTCCGTGGTTTCCGTCGTTTCCGTGGTTTCCGTCGTTTCCGTGGTTTCCGTCGTTTCCGTGGTTTCCGTCGTTTCCGTGGTTTCCGTCGTTTCCGTGGTTTCTGTCGTTTCCGTGGTTTCTGTTGTTTCCGTGGTTTCAGTTGTTACAGTGGTTATTGGAGTAGTAACAGTCGTGAAAATTGTAGTCTCAGTTGTAGTTTCTGTTGTTATGGTAGTGATAAAAGGTGTTTCTGTCGTCGTGTTTATAATTTCTACTATTGGTGTAGTAATTGTAGGAGTAGTAATAGGAATTGTTTCTGTCGTTTCCGTGGTTTCCGTTGTTTCAGTTGTTATAGTGGTTATTAGAGTAGTAACAGTCGTGAAAATTGTAGTCTCAGTTGTAGTTTCTGTTGTTATGGTAGTGATAAAAGGTGTTTCTGTCGTCGTGTTTATAATTTCTACTATTGGTGTAGTAATTGTAGGAGTAGTTGTAGGAATTGTTTCTGTCGTTTCCGTAGTTTCTGTTGTTACAGTTATTACAGTGGTTATTGGAGTAGTAACAGTCGTGAAAATTGTAGTCTCAGTTGTAGTTTCTGTTGTTATGGTAGTGATAAAAGGTGTTTCCGTAGTCGTGTTTATAATTTCTATTATTGGTGTTGTTATTATAGTAGTAGTAATAGGAATTGTTTCCGTTGTTTCAGTGGTTTCCGTTGTTTCAGTTGTTACTGTGATTATTGGAGTAGTAATAGTTGTGAAAATTGTAGTCTCAGTCATCGTTTCTGTTGTTAACGTAGTAATGAAAGGCGTCTCCGTAGTTGTGTTAATAACTTCTATTATTGGTGTAGTTACTGTAGTCGTGGTAGTGGGAGTTATTTCCGTCGTTTCTGTTGTTTCTGTTGTTACAGTAGTTATAGGAGTAGTCACTGTTGTTGTAACAGTTTCAGTTATGGTTTCCGTTGTTAAAGTAATAACGAACGGTGTTTCTGTAGTGGTAGTTATAACCTCTATTGTTGGTGTAATTACTGTAGTAGGAGTAATAGGAGTTGTTTCCGTTGTTATAGTAGTAACTGGAGTGGTCACTGTCGTGAGAATTGTAGTCTCAGTTGTGGTTTCTGTTGTTAACGTAATAATGAAAGGCGTTTCCGTAGTGGTGTTAACTTCTATTATTGGTGTAGTCACTGTAGTTGTGGTAGTGGGAGTTATTTCCGTCGTTTCTGTTGTTTCTGTTGTTATAGTAGTTATAGGAGTTGTCACTGTTGTAACAGTTTCAGTTGTGGTTTCCGTTGTTAAAATAATAATGAACGGTGTTTCTGTAGTGGTAGTTGTAACCACTATTATTGGTGTAATTACTGTAGTGGGAGTAATAGGAGTTGTTTCCGTTGTTATATTAGTAACTGGAGTGGTCACTGTCGTGAGAATTGTAGTCTCAGTTGTGGTTTCTGTTGTTAACGTAATAATGAAAGGCGTTTCCGTAGTGGTGTTAACTTCTATTATTGGTGTAGTCACTGTAGTCGTGGTAGTGGGAGTTATTTCCATCGTTTCTGTTGTTTTTTCCGTTGTTACAGTAGTTATAGGAGTAGTCACTGTTGTAACAGTTTCAGTTGTGGTTTCCGTTGTTAAAATAATAATGAACGGTGTTTCTGTAGTGGTAGTTGTAACCTCTATTAGTGGTGTAATTACTGTAGTGGGAGTAATAGGAGTTGTTTCCGTTGTTATAGTAGTAACTGGAGTGGTCACTGTCGTGAGAATTGTAGTCTCAGTTGTGGTTTCTATTGTTAACGTAATAATGAAAGGCGTTTCCGTAGTTGTATTAACAACTATTATTGGTGTAGTTACTGTAGTCGTGGTAGTGGGAGTTATTTCCGTCGTTTCTGTTATTTTTTCCGTTGTTACAGTAGTTAAGAGTGTGGTCACTGTTGTAGTTTCTGTTGTTAAAGTAGTAACGGAAGGTGTTTCCGTAGTTGTAGTCGTAATCTCTATTTTTGGTGTAATTACTGTAGTGGTAAAAGGTAACGTTTCGAGAATAACTATTTCAATGGTTGTTGGTGGAATTACAGCCGTAGTTATCTCAGTAGTTGTAATTTCTGGCACAGTTGTTGTGGTAATAGTCGTTGGAGTAATTGTTTCTAGCGACGTTGTGGTTGCAGTAGTTTCTTCAGTGGTAGTAGGGGTAACCTCAGTTGTGGTGGGAGACACAGTTGGACTTTCCGTAGTTTCTGTTACCGGTGTTGTGGTAATAGTTGTTGCTGTAGTTATTGTTTCTGAGGTCGTTGTCGTAGTTGCAGTAGTTTCTTCAGTGGTAGTAGGAACTTCAGTAGGTGTAGTTGTTGGCGCAATTGTACTTTCGGTTGTAGTCTCTGTCACAGACGTTGTAGTAGTAGTCATTGGTTTAGTTGTTGTTTCCGGCGATGTTGTTGTAGTTATGGTAACTTCTTTAATCGTAGTAGGGGTCACCGTTGTTGTAGTGGGTGGCAGAGTTGGACGTTCCGTGGTAGTTTCCGGCACAGGAGTTGCGGTCATTGTAGTTCGTGTAGTTGTTGTTTCTGGCGACGTAGTCGTAGTTGCAGTGGTTTCTTCAGTGGTGGTACGAATTGCAGGAGTTGTAGTGAGTGGCGCAGTTGTGATTTCCGTTGTAGTTTCTGGAAAAGGTGTTGTAGTAATAGTAGTTAGTGCAGTTGTTGTTTTTGGTGACGTTGTTGTGGTTACAGTTGTTTCTTCAGTTGTGGTAGGAACAACCTCAGTTGTTGTAGGTGGTAGAGTTGGACTTTCTGTTGTAGTTTCTGGCGACATTGTAGTTACAGTTGTTTCTTCAGTTGTAGTAGGAACTACAGCAGTTGTAGTGGTTGGCGGAGTTGGACTTTCCGTTGTAGTTTCTGGTAAAAATATTGTAGTAATAGTTGTTGGTGTAGTTGTTTCCGGCGATGTTGACGTAGTTACAGTTGTTTCTTCAGTTGTAGTAGGAATTACAGTAGTTGTAGTGGTTGGCGGAGTTAAAATTTCCGTCGTAGTTTCTGGCGTAAGTGTTGTGATAATGGTTGTTGGTGTAATTGTTGTTTCAGGCGATGTTGTCGTGGTTACAGTTGTTTCTTCGGTTGTAGTAGGAACTACAGTAGTTGTAGTGGTTGGCAGAGTTGGACTTACGGTTGTAATTTCTGGTATAAATATTGTAGTAATAGTCGTTGGTGTAGTTGTTTCCGGCGATGTTGTCATGGTTACAGTTGTTTCTTCAGTTGTAGTAGGAACTACAGTAGTTGTAGTGGTTGGCGGAGTTAAAGTTTCCGCCGTAGTTTCTGGCGTAGGTGTTGTGGTAGTAATTATTGATGCTGTTGTTGTTTCTGGCGTTGTTGTCATGGTCGCAGTTGTTTCTTCAGTTGTGGTAGGAATTACAGTAGTTGTAGTAATTGGCAGAGTTGGACTTTCCGTTATAATTTCTGGTATAAATATTGTAGTAATAGTCGTTGGTGTAGTTGTAGTTTCCGGCAATGTTCTCGTCGTTAGAGTTGTTTCTTCAGTTGTAGTAGGAGTAACCTCAGTCGTAGTGGTCGGCGGAGTTGGACTTTTCGTTGTAGTTTCTGGCGTAAGTATTGTGGTAGTAGTTGTTGGTGTAATTGTTGTTTCCGGCGATGTTGTCGTAGTTGCAGTTGTTTCTTCAGTTGTGGTAGGAGTAACTTCAGTTGATGTAGTTGATAGAGTTGGACTTTCCGTTGTAGTTTCTGGCGTAGGTGTTGTAGTAATAGTTGTTGGTGTAATTGTTGTTTCCGGCGATGTTGTCGTAATTGTAGTTGTTTCTTCAGTTGTGGTAGAAGTAATTTCAGTTGTTGTAGGTAATAGAGTTGGACTTTCTGTTGTAGTTTCTGGTATAAGTGTTATAGTAACAGTTGTTGGTGTAGTTGTTTCCGGCAATGTTGTCGTGGTTACAGTTGTTTCTTCAGTCGTAGTAGGAACTATAGTAGTTGTAGTGGTTGGCGGAGTTGGACTTTCCGTTGTAGTTTCTGGCGTAGCTGTTGTGGTAATAGTTGTTGGTGTGGTTGTTGTTTCCGGCGATGTTGTCGTAGTGAAAATTGTTTCTTCAATTGTAGTAGGAGTAACCTCAGTCGTAGTGGTCGGCGGAGTTGGACTTTCCGTTGTAGTTTCTGGCATAGGTGTTGTGGTAATGGTTGTTGGTATTGTTGTTGTTTCCGGCGATGTTGTCGTGGTTGCAGTTGTTTCTTCAGTTGTAGTAATAACTACAGTAGTGTTAGTGGTTGGTGGAGTTGGACTTTCCGTTGTAGTTTCTGGCATAGGTGTTGTGGTAGTAGTTGTTGGTATAGTTGTTGTTTCAGGCGACGTTGTCGTGGTTATAGTTGTTTCTTCGGTTGTAGTTGGAACTACAGTAGTTGTAGTGGTTGGCGGAGTTGGAACTTCCGTTGTAGTTGCTGGCACAGGTGTTGGGGTAATATACGTTGTTGTAGTTGTTTCCGGCGATGTTATCGTGGTTAATGTTGTTTCTTCAGTTGTAGTAGGAACGACAGTAGTTGTAGTAGTTGGCAGAGTTGGACTTTCGGTTGTAGTTTCTGGCGTAGATGTTGTGGTAGTAATTGTTGTTGTAGTTGTTTCTGGCGATGTTGTCGTGGTTGCAATCGTTTCTTCAGTTGTAGTAGGAGCTACAGTAGTTGTAGTAGTTGGCGGTGTTGTACTTTCCGTTGTAGTTTCTGGCGTAGGTGTTGTAGTAATAGTTGTTTGTGTAGTTGTAGTTTCTGGCGACGTCGTCGTAGTTGCAGTTGTTTCTCTGGTTGTAGTAGGAACAACAGTAGTTGTAGTAGTCGGCGGTGTTGTACTTTCTGTTGTTGTTTCTGGTATAGGTGTTGTAGTAATAGTAGATGCAGTAGTTGTAGTTTCAGGCGATGTTGCTGTGGTTGCAGTTGTTTCTTCAGTTGTAGTAGTAACTACAGTAGTGGTAGTGGTTGGTGGAGTTGGACTTTCCGTTGTAGTTTCTGGCATAGGTGTTGTAGTAGTAATTGTTGGTATAGTTGTTGTTTCAGGTAATGTTGTCGTGGTTATAGTTGTTTCTTCGGTTGTAGTTGGAACTACAGTAGTTGTAGTGGTTGGCAGAGTTGGACTTTCGGTTGTAATTTCTGGTATAAATGTTGTGGTAATAGTCGTTGGTGTAGTTGTTTCAGGCGTAGTTATCGTGGTTAATGTTGTTTCTTCAGTTGTAGTAGGAACGACAGTAGTTGTAGTGGTTGGCAGAGTTGTACTTTCCGTTGTAGTTTCTGGCGTAGTTGTTGTTGTAGTAATTGTTGTTGTAGTTGTTTCTGGCGATGTTGTCGTAGTTACAGTTGTTTCTTCGGTTGTAGTAGGAACTACAGTAGTTGTAGTAGTTGCCGGTGTTGTACTTTCCGTTGTAGTTTCTGGTACAGGTGTTGTAATAATAGTTGTTGCAGTAGTTGTAGTTTCCGGCGATGTTGTCGTGGTTACAGTTGTTTCTTCAGTTGTAGTAGGAGTAACCTCAGTCGTAGTGGTCGGCGGTGTCGGACTTTCCGTTGTAGTTTCTGGCATAGGTGTTGTGATAGTAGTTGTTGGTGTAGTTGTTTCAGGCGATGTTGTCGTGGTTATAGTTGTTTCTTCGGTTGTAGTTGGAATCATAGTAGTTGTAGTGGTTGGCGGAGTTGGGCTTTCCGTTGTAGTTGTTGGCACAGGTGTTGGGATAATAGTCGTTGTTGTAGTTGTTTCCGGCGATGTTGTCGTGGTTAAAGTTGTTTCTTCAGTTGTAGTAGGAATTACTGTAGTTGTAGTGGTTGGCAGAATTGGACTTTCGGTTGTAGTTTCTGGCGTAGATGTTGTGGTAGTAATTGTTGTCGTAGTTGTTTCTAGCGATGTTGTTGTAGTTACCGTTGTTTTTTCAGTTGTAGTAGGAGCTATAGTAGTTGTAGTGGTTGTCAAAGTTGTACTTTCCGTTGTAGTTTCTGGCGTAGGTGTTGTAGTGATAGTTGTTGGTGTAGTTGTACTTTCTGGCGACGTCGTCGTAGTTACAGTTGTTTCGGCGGTTGTAGTAGGAATTACAGTAGTTGTAGTAGTCGGCGGTGTTGTACTTTCTGTTGTAGTTTCTGGTATAGGTGTTGTAGTAATAGTAGTTGCAGTAGTTGTAGTTTCCGGCGATGTTGTCGTGGTTGCAGTTGTTTCTTCAGTTGCAGTAGTAACTACAGTAGTGGTAGTGGTTGGTGGAGTTGCACTTTCCGTTGTAGTTTCTGGCATAGGTGTTGTAGTAGTAGTTGTTGGTATAGTAGTTGTTTCAGGCGATGTTGTCGTGGTTATAGTTGTTTCTTCGGTTGTAGTTGGAACTACAGTAGTTGTAGTGGTTGGCGCAGTTGGACTTTCCGTTGTAGTTGTTGGCACAGGTGTTGGGGTAATAGTCGTTGTTGTAGTTGTTTCCGGCGATGTTGTCGTGGTTAATGTTGTTTCTTCAGTAGGAACGACAGTAGTTGTAGTGGTTGGCAGAGTTGGACTTTCGGTTGTAGTTTCTGGCGTAGATGTTGTGGTAGTAATTGTTGTTGTAGTTGTTTCTGGTGATGTTGTCGTGGTTGCAATAGTTTCTTCAGTTGTAGTAGGAGCTACAGTAGTTGTAGTAGTTGGCGGTGTTGTACTTTCCGTTGTAGTTTCTGGCGTAGGTGTTGTTGTAATAGTTGTTGGTGTAGTTGTAGTTTCTGGCGACGTCGTCGTAGTTACAGTTGTTTCTTCGGTTGTAGTAGGAACTATAGTAGTTGTAGTAGTCAGCGGTGTTGTACTTTCTGTTGTAGTTTCTGGTATAGGTGTTGTAGTGATAGTAGTTGCTGTAGTTGTAGTTTCTGGCGATGTTGTCGTGGTTGCAGTTGTTTCTTCAGTTGTAGTAGTAACTACAGTAGTGGTTGTGGTTGGTGGAGTTGGACTTTCCGTTGTAGTTTCTGGCATAGGTGTTGTGGTAGTAGTTGTTGGTATAGTTGTTGTTTCAGGAGACGTTGTCGTGGTTATAATTGTTTCTTCGGTTGTAGTTGGAACTACAGTAGTTGTAGTGGTTGGCGGAGTTGGACTTTCCGTTGTAGTTGCTGGCACAGGTGTTGGGGTAATAGTCGTTGTTGTAGTTGTTTCCGGCGATGTTGTCGTGGTTAATGTTGTTTCTTCAGTTGTAGTAGGAACGACAGTAGTTGTAGTGGTTGGCAGAGTTGGACTTTCGGTTGTAGTTTCTGGCGTAGATGTTGTGGTAGTAATGGTTGTTGTAGTTGTTTCTGGCGATGTTGTCGTGGTTGCAATCGTTTCTTCCGTTGTAGTAGGAGCTACAGTAGTTGTAGTGGTTGGCGGTGTTGTACTTTCCGTTGTAGTTTCTGGCGTAGGTGTTGTAGTAATAGTTGTTGGTGTAGTTGTTGTTTCCGGCGATGTTGTCGTGGTTGCAGTTGTTTCTTCAGTTGTAGTAGTAACTACAGTAGTGGTAGTGGTTGGTGGAGTTGGACTTTCCGTTGTAGTTTCTGGCATAGGTGTTGTGGTAGTAGTTGTTGGTATAGTTGTTGTTTCAGGCGATGTTGTCGTGGTTATAGTTGTTTCTTCGGTTGTAGTAGTAACTACAGTAGTTGTAGTTGTTGGTGGAGTTGTGGTTTCCGTTGTAGTTTCCTGTACAGGTGTTGTGGTAATGATTGTTAATGTAGTTGTAGTAATAGTTGTTAGTGTAGTTGTTGTTTCTGGCGACGTTGTCGTGGTTGCAGTTGTTTCTTCAGTTGTGGTAGGAACTTTAGTAGTTGTAGTGGGTGACGGAGTTGGACTTTCTGTTGTTGTTTCTGTCAAAGATGTTGTGGTAATTGTCGTTGTTTCTGGCGACGTTGTTGTAATTACAGTTGTTTTCTCAGTTGTGGTAGGAATGACAGTAGTTGTAGTTGTTGGCGGAGTTGTGCTTTCCGTTGTAGTTTCTGGCACAGGTGTTGTGGTAGTAGTTCTTGATGTAGTTGTAGTTTCTGGCGACGTTGTCGTAGTTACAGTTGTTTCTTCAGTTGTGGTAGGAACTACAGTCGTTGTAGTGGTTGGCGGAGTTGGACTTTTTATTGTAGTTTCTGGTAGAGGTGTTGTGGTAGTGATTGTTAGTGTAGTTGTGGTTTCTGGTGTCGTTGTCGTGGTTATAATTGTTTCTGTAGTTGTAGTAGGAGCTATACTAGTCGTAGTGGTTGGCAGAGTTGTACTTTCCGTTGTAGTTTCTGGCGTAGGTGTTGTAGTAGTAATTTTTGCTGTAGTTGTAGTAATAGTTGTTGGTGTAGTTGTTGTTTCAGGCGATGTTGTCGTAGTTACAGTTGTTTCTTCAGTTGTGGTAGGAACTTTGGTAGTTGTAGTGGTCGGTGGAGTTGGACTTTCTGTTGTAGTTTCTGTCATAGATGTTGTTGTAATAGTCGTTGTTGTAGTTGTTTCTGGCGATGTTGTTGTGGTTACAGTCGTTTCTTCAGTTGTGGTGGGAACTACTGTAGTTGTAGTTGTTAGCGGAGTTGTGCTTTCCGTTGTAGTTTCTGGCATAGATGTTGTGGTAGTAGTTCTTGGTGTAGTTGTAGTTTCTGGCGACGTTGTCGTAGTTACAGTTGTTTCTTCAGTTGTGGTAGGAACTACAGTTGTCGTAGTGGTTGGCGGAGTGGGACTTTTTGTTGTAGTTTCTGGCATAGGTGTTGTGGTAGTAATTGTTGTTGTAGTTGTTTCTGGAGATGTTGTCGTCGTTTGAGTCGTTTCCTCAGTTGTTGTAGGAGCTGTAGTAATTGTAGTGGTTGGCGGAGTTGTACTTTCCGTTGTAGTTTCTGGTAGAAATGTTGAAGTAGTTGTTGGTGTAATTGTTGTTTCTGGCGACGTTGTTGTAGTTACAGTTGTTTCTTCAGTTGTAGTAGGAACTACAGTAGTTGTAGTGGTTGGCGGAGTTGGACTTTTCGTTGTAGTTTCTGTCACAGATGTTGTGGTGATGGTTGTTTCTGGTGATGTTGTTGTTTTTATAGTCGTTTCTTCAGTTGTGGTAGGAGCCACCGTAGTTGTAATTATTTTTGTTGTTTCTGTTGTAGTTTCTGGCGTTGTGATAGTTGTTGTTTCCGTTATTGTTGTTTCTCGTGATGTTGTTGTTGTTATAATTGTTTCTTTTATTGTAGTAAGTTCAGTAGTGGTTGTAGTATATACCGTAGTTGTTGTGGTTTCGACTGTACTTTCTGTCTCAGTCCAGAATGGTATTGGTATTTTTATATGCATTCTTTCTGGTGTACGGAATCTATATGTTTCTACAGTTGTTGTAGGTGTTGCAATATCTATTTGTTCTTCTTGCCAACTTAATGTTGTCTGTAATATATCTATTTCATTTTGATGTTCAGTATTATATGTTAACTGTGATTCAATATATGGTTCTGTTACTAATTTTATCACTTCTTGATACGCAGTAAGTTCTTTCTTAAAATCTGGTGTTATTTCATCTATATCTCTTTTGATTCTAGTACTTTTTTTTCTTCTTTTTTTAACGAAACCAGTTGTTTTTTTTGGAATTAAACTTAATTTCAATATGTGATGCAGAGCTAATGTTTGACTTGTGAATGAGGACGTAGTTTCATTGGCATTTTGTATCTGTGATGCTTCCACCAGCTTTGGCAATAAAAATGTTTTATTCCATTGATTTTCTAATTTAATTTTTTTATCAATTGAAAAACTTTGGTTCATCTTTTTTCTCTTGGTACGAAAGGATATGTTTTCTGATTTAGTTGATCTTTTTAATTTCTCATGAGCGTGCCTTAAATGCGATTCATAATTAACTGTAATTGATTTCAGATTTCTGACTAATCGATGATGCGGCTTGCTATAAGTACTTATAGATGAAAAATCGGCGCAAAAACGTGGATGAATATAATCTGTGAAAGGATAAGGATAACTGACTTCATGATTTCTCATAGGAACAGACTTCGATTTGTACCGTGCCTCTTCTATATTTACTAAACCTAAATTTTTTTTAGACATCCGATTGAAATTTTCTTCCACTGTATTACTGTTATTCTTTAATATTGTTTTTTTCCGCCATTGTTTAAGGATCGCCGACAAATCAGTGCATTCGGCTTCATATATATCTCCTTGCTTGTTATTTGTTAAAATAATTTCTTGCAATACTTTCACTGTTTCCGTAGTATAAAAATTAACATTCTATAATACACAACATTACTTAATGATAGTAACAATTCAGTCATGATTAACATTAATCGCAATTGCCAATTGGTTATGATCTTTGACATTAATAGTTGTCGACGTTACCAAAAATGGTTTACTATTAAATATTTATGGCAATGCTTTTTTGGGTTTTTCGACACAGAAGTGTACTTACAGAAATATTATCCATTTTAGTGCTATTGTTATAATAAATAGAGTGATTATCAATTTTGTCGACAGTTGCACAAGCGTTATCTGCTGCTATTACCATATATATCGCAATCAATTTACAAGTCACAATAAGGAATATATTTTGCATAGCGTCATATCACGCACATTCATTGATTATCTCGCATTTTTTTAACACATCCTTATCAATTCTATAGCGAATCATCGTCGCATCAAAACGAACTTATCTCGTCACGCAAACGTATCTTTACGTTTTACGTGCAAGTCGAACATATTCCATCGATTTACATTTTCGATTTACGAATTAATTCATTTCATTGAATATATCGATGTACTTTTAAATACAATTTCATGTGGTTCAAACATATCAATTACATTGGGATAAAAGTCAGCTTTATCATGAATATGAAGTTATATGAAGTTTTTGAAGAAGAAAATAATTTTAACTTGTTTTTATGTAATGATGAGTTTTATATACCATAAAGTAAATGAAATAGCTAGTATAAAGCATGAAAATTTTTAATCAAATAAAATACATAATTTTCAAAGAAAATTTTTCAAATAATTAAATAAACGAAAATAAATAAAAAATTTATATGATAATTACATAATATAAATACATTATATGATAATTATATAATATTATTTTATTATATTATATAATTATTTAAAATGAAATTATTATTTACATGTTTAAATGTATTTATATTATATACAAAATTAATATAAATAATAATTTCATTCTAATAAATAATTTATTTCTCTTTTATTATTTTTTCCATTTTTCTTTATTTTTCTATTTTCTATTTTCGTTTTTGGAATAATTAATGGAATGAAAGTAAATTCATTCATTCATTTATATTCATCATAAGAATTAATCAATTAAATTAAAAATTTTTATCGATCAATGGCTGTCTGAATTAATTCTTTAATGCTTGATCATTCTAACTAACTAAAATAATGAATAGTTAAAAGGTTATGTAAAATTATGTGAAACAAAATTTCACACAATTGACATTTACTTTTAAACATACCTTAATGACAATAATTCGATATTAATATTGATAATATATTAACCATTAATAATTATCCTCTTCGTAATTTTGACGATTTAGAGCTTAGTAATATAACATAATTCAAGTGCAGTGTTTATTTACAAAAGTAATACGAACATAAAAAATTGCTTCTTATATTTTAATAAAAGTAATGCTATGATATTGGAGTCCATTTTTTCCTGCACGAATCTACTTCTAACATGTGGATCTTCCATTTATATTCTGATAAGACACTCTTATACACAATATTCGAAATTTTTCACACATTTGACGTGTGCCTGTGTCAGTATCGCGATGATTGGTTCTCGATCCTTGATCGTTCTTTTGTACAAACTTTTCATTAAGGAATACTGTAAGTGATTTATCTTTCAAGCATTATTTTGTATTAAAAAAATTTAATCTTTATGTTTCAGCCTTTGATCCAGATATGATAGAGATAGAAGAAGAGAGGAATAAAGAACGATTTAATATTTTAGACGAGCTGCTTGGTACTTTGAGTATGACGGGATTAATTTATTCTCTATATTGTTGTCACGGATATTACATACTCGGTATCTGCGTTGTAACTAGCTTATCAGTTTTCAACGTGATCAAATTGTACTACATGATAAAACAATTAGAGGTATTCGTTTTTAAAAAATTTTTTAAACTTTGGTTTAACTTTTTATATTTTTAATTTTTTAATTTAATTTCTCTTAAATTTAACCCTCGATTGTCGCAATAGATTATCCAAATTTTATTTCAATTTTCAATCAATTACTAATCGAAAAATATAATAATATTATCGAATGCAAAATATTTGCAATAAAAAGAAATTTGCAATTAAATCGATATCATATCACATCTTCATCAAGAAATTGTTCAAATTTTTTTAAAATATGAAAATATTTTTTTCAATATCAAATCGTTTCGATTGAAAAAGGATAACCGAGGATTAACGATTTTACGAATTTTGAATTTGTTAACACTTTTTATTTTATTTAATTTTTCATTAAAAGAATAGAAAACGATATATACCGTATATTTTAATTTCATTTTTCGTTGAATTTTTTGATTGAATTTAAATTTCAGGAAATGGAAACGTCACGTTTCTATAATACTTTACAACAGACAAAAACGATATCAAAATTTAATGTTTTCAATTGGGTGATTGTTGGGGGATGTTTTGCGTAAGTGCAATGATTTATTTCTAATTAATTAAACAGATAGTTAATTTCTCGTGCCATTCAGATTTATAGTAGGTAACAATTACGCGATAGTAGCAAATTATCCTTTGCTTTTGGCAAATTGGGCAATGGTTCCAGAAGGATTTTATCAAGGATGGACGATAAATCGTGCTATTAATGATTACCTGATGGCAACTTATATCATGTGCATGACAGAAGCTCTTCGACAAACGAGCACATTATAATTGTACAGGATAATTCCTAAACTATAGAAGCATAATCTAAGAATAAAAATTATTATACAAAGTTTGTCCGTCAGATATTAAATACAGCAAATTCTGCATTAGACATTATGAAAATTGACTTTGAAGTAAGAATTTAAATATTTTAAATGATTCTTATAAATTCAAAAATATTGTGTAAGATAAAAATAATCAAATTTTCATATTTCTTAATGCAGAATTAAATATACATATTGTACATAAACTTTGTATAAAAATTTTTTTCTTCTAGTTTCATGTATCTATGATTTGAATAAATTCTAGAATCAAATAAAAGAATAGAAAGTTTCTAGTTTCCTGTTAGAAACAGGGTCTTTTGTTCTAAAATGTCGTTAAATTAAATAATCTGCACACAAGTGGTCTTTTAGTTATATTTCTTATCATTCTCTATATTTACATTTTTGAAAAATATGCTTGACATTAGTGCTTAATGATCTTGTAAATGCATAGAGTTCAAAAAAATCCAAGAAGTGATTTTAGATACTTCTATAGCATCTTCTTTCTATATTATATTGACTTTATATATTATATTGACTTAACACTTATATAGCAGTTTAACATTATTTAATTTTACATTAATTGAAAGAACTAATTAAAAATTCTTATTTTGTAATTTTAATTATTTTATAATCGATAATAAATATGTTAACTAAAAGAATATTTAGATTTTAATATAAAATAGACATAATTGAAACATGTTATAATGTTCAATTCAAGAGATATATTTAACTCGATCACTATTATAATTCGATCGTTTCGGAATTTTTGGATTGCTTATTATATTATTTAAGGATTAATCTTATTGTATCATCATTACATAATATTTACATCGAAACAAAATTGAAATTATACAATTTGAATAATTGGATGGAATGAATCCAAAGTTGAATTGTGATCGTTCGAATTTTATTTCGTTTATAACAATTACAATTTTTTTTACAAGCTTAACGTACGCTCTTAACATTTTATTATGTACAAAAAATTGTATATCTATCAAATACAATAAGTTTTAATACAAACGGCAATATCACGTTTAGAAAAATGAAAGAAGTATAAGCGTCGTCGCTGTGATCACTGTCACGTACACATATGAATGAGAACGCATACTCGTTCGTTTGATACGACAACGAGTTTAACAGAATTATTGCATCCGATTAATAATCTAGGGAATTATTATTCTCTAAAATCGTTCTAGTGTACGTATGAGAATAAATGCGTTAAGAAATACTCACCGGTCAGTTCATTTATCTTAAATATCTAATTACGAATAAAAAAAAAAAAGAAAGAAAAAAAAATGAAAAAGGAGAAAAGAAATGAAAAGAAATAAAAAAGAAAGACAATGATAAAAATATTTCTTCAGGACTGTCTTTAATTTGTTCAATTTTTTTTTCAAGTATTTTTTAGGTTATTATAAAAAGTCCCTAATTCGTTTAAAATTTCCTAAAAATTAAAATATTTAAACTTTCCAATTTTTATTCTTTTTATTCCCGTGTTCTTCTTTATATTTCATCATTCAGAAAAGAAAGAAATTATGTTCATCTTCTTTTTTCCTTTAATAAATAAATAAAGAGTTTAAAGACGGCCCTGTTTCACTTCGTTATAAATTAATCTACTCGAAGGCAGTCTTTTATTCTTCTATTCCACTTTACGTCGTGTATAATCAAATAATTAATAGATAATTACTAGAAAAAATGTTTAAATGAGCGGCAATATTTAAATGGGATCCTATTGCTCTAGTAAAAAAATAAATGCCATTCCTTTCATCTTTATTGATTATTGTTTCTGATGGCAGTGAAATATTTGAGATAGCCATGGTCATTGTTCATCTGTAAAGGATCAAAAGAGTCAAGACAATTTTTCGTTACAAACAATATTTTAAAGAATTTCTTAATATTTAATCTTATTTTTAATCTTTGATTTTTAATGTAACACAGTTAAAAACAATATAAAATAATAATTAACACGTGATATCTTATTTCAATTTTATACGTAAAGTACTTTTTAAGATATTAAAAATCTTTTTGATTGTTAAAACGAGAAAATGATTAAAAAAAACGTAACAAAATATTAAATTATTTTAATATATTAATAGCTCATAAATCAAGATAAGAATCTCAATGATCTATTATAATTATTAATTGATTGATTCATGATTCATTTTAAAATATGAATATTTGAAATAATCCAGAAACATTTCAAACTATATTTCTTTGAATGGATAAATTATTAGTCATATAAAAAAAGTTTTAATATATTCGTAGAACATATTGGAGAGCAAAAGAAATACAAAAATTATATCAATTGAAACTTATTCATTAAGCTTATTTAATAAGCAATTTGTATTAAATGAAACGGGACAGAATTAGAGCAAGACGATAGTGTAACATAGACAGAGACACCGCTCACTTTATTTCCATCTCATTTCATTTAATCATCAATTTTTATATTTCAACATCTAGAATCAAATTTTCAAACGTATCCCATAAATACATTAACATCCTGAATAACTTATGATATGAGAATACTCATCGTCATCAATATTTTTTTACAAAAATTACGTACATTTTAAAAAAATTTCGA